GTTAAATTCTTGACTTCCTGGTTGGAGGGAAAGACCATACAACCATTTACTGTCACAGTGCCATCTGGTGGGTGCTTTTAGCATTACTTCCACCAAATGATAGAGAAGGCAGTTTCAGTTTAACACTCCCATTTTTGAATTTTATCAGCTCAAAATGTGGTCAACCGTTTGGTTGACCAGGACCTTAACTGGTTAAAAAGRTAGTTTTACATCACACACTTGATTATAGATCTAGAAGTTAGAAATGAGGCTGAGAGAAATGTATTATGGTGAGACATTCCGATTTCAGGGTAGCTTTTGTTCCAACCCACCTTTAGGTCACCTGCGCTTACACCTGGACTTATTTTGCACTTTTGTCTTTGCACTATTTTTACTGTTACTAAATACAATTGTATCACTTTACACTTTCATGGGTACCTGGGAAACCAATTCTTACTTYGAATCTAGGTTTTGTGTATTGATAGAAGTAGCTTTAAATGTTTCATAGYAACTTCATCTTTCAGAACTGAGAAACTTAATAAAACAATCCAGACGCCACTTTAAAAAAAACACCTTATATTTATTGTGCAAACATACTGTAACTTAATACAAAAAGTCACTTTTCAATAAAAAAAAAAAATAACAAATGTGGTCCTGTGGCCTTGCTCAGGTTTGTTATCAGGATGCCAACTGAACCTTTTTACTCTGATGGTATTTATATGCAAAACCTGCAAGAGAGAGAAAGATTAGAGAACATTCTGTGTGACGATCCCAAACTGGATTTAAAAACCGTTGTAGCCTCAGATYAAAGTCAGAATCAGGGAGCAGGAAGCTCTCATAGTAGGTGTCAGAAAAGTTTATTTAAATTTGTCATCTTTGGCATACTTCAAGTACCCCCACCCCCCAAAAATATACATCAACTCACCATTAAACAATGTCAGTCACGTCTTCAGCAGGACTTGTTCTTCTGTAAATAAAAAAAAGGTGTGTTGTTAGGCCTGTCGCGATAGCCAATAAATCAATTAATTGCACGATAACTTTTTTTTGAGGTCGGTAAAAAAAATGAGGTCGATGAAAGTTTCATTTTCCTGCTTGTTTGTTCACTTCGTCTCTCTCCCTCTGTACTCCGCTGCACAGGGGCTCAGCTGACCCCTCCCCTCCTGTTTCCTTAGTGTGGGAGGAGTCAACTCCCGCTTTAGCATGAGCTGAAAGGAGTGGCACCCGGTGTGGTCTTCTGCTGCTGAAGCCCATCTGCCTCAAAGTTCGTCGTACTGTGCGTTCAGAGACGCTCTTCTGCCTACCTCGGTTGTAACGGGTGGTTATTTGAGTCACTGTTGCCTTTCTATCAGCTCGAACCAGTATGTCCATTCTCCTCTGACCTCTGGCATCAACAAGGCATTTCCGCCCACAGGACTGCCGCGCACTGGATGTTTTTTCTTTTTCGGACCATTCTCTGTAAACCCTAGAGATGGTTGTGCGTGAAAATCCCAGTAGATCAGCAGTTTCTGAAATACTCAGACCAGCCCTTCTGGCACCAACAAYCMTGCCACGTTCAAAGGCACTCAAATCACCTTTCTTCCCCATACTGATGCTCGGTTTGAACTGCAGAAGATTGTCTTGACCACGTCTACATGCCTAAATGCACTGAGTTGCCGCCATGTGATTGGCTGATTAGAAATTGTGGCCTTGCTCAGGTTTGTTATCAGGATGCCAACAGAACCTTTTTACTCTGATGGTATTTGGATGCAAAACCTGCAAGAGAGAGAAAGATTAGAGAACATTCTGTGTGATGATCCCAAACTGGATTTGAAAACCGTTGTAGCCTCAGATTAAAGTCAGAATCAGGGAGCAGAAAGCTCTCATAGTAGGTGTCAGAAAAGTTTATTTAAATTTGTCATCTTTGGCATACTTCAAGTACCCCCACCCCCCAAAAATATGCATCAACTCACCATYAAACAATGTCAGTCACGTCTTCAGCAGGACTTGTTCTTCTGTAAATAAAAAAAGGTGTGTTGTGATGTGATGTTGCACAAGAAAATAAAACAATGYGCATAGAAGAAGTGCAGGAGCCTCAGATTAAAGTTAGAATCAGGGAGCTGGAAGCTCTCATAGTAGGTGTCAGAAAAGTATTTTTTTAGTTTGTCATCCCAGGCTGAAAGCAGTCGCCTGCATCTCTGGATTATCACTCAACCTACCTGGCTTTTTCAGTCCCACAGCCTTGTTCAGTCCAGTCTTCAGCTATAAACAGAAAATAAAAGCAAACCATGAGCATTACAAATACTGAATAACGTCTAATTTAAGATTTAGACACCTTTTATTTTTTCATTTTACAAGCTACTTTGTATTTTTCACCCCCTTTCCATCTTGATAATAATGYACTTAAATGATAACTTGAAGTTAATTTGGGATTATTGTCTAAAACAAATCTTTATTTCCCCTTAAGTAATCTTATCAAGGCTATATCTAATCTTATCTAAATGAAGCACTTAAATACCATAAAGCAATATAATACTACGTTTAAAAGCTGCCTAAGCTCAAAAGGTTATCGTTTTGATCATTTATTGCCAATATAAAACGGTTTTCATTGTCTATTTCAGCTTTTTATTGCCCGTATGGAATGGCCTGCAGGACAGCCACGTGGTCCACAAGCGCATTAAAAAGGTTAGCTTTGATTATAGGTTTTACTTATTTTTCGTGCTCGTCTCACTATGTAGCAAGTATAAAACAAGTTATAGGCCTAGCTTTAGTTAATGGGCAACTTACTTCTTTTATTGCTTGCAACAGATCAGAGTTCCAGATGCAAATGGACGTTCTACTCTTGTCTTATCCCTTCTGACTTGGATGACTTTTCGGCTTCCGGTACAAGCCCCGCCCATTTCCGGGCTAAGCAGTTAGCTAAAAGCGAGGAAATGTTTAGTTATTTTGAGGTACACTTTTTCTTCGATGTTTTTTTTAGTTTCTGAGCCTCAATTTAAACACATAGCTGATATTTCAATGTAGTTTATTTTTCTTATCAGTACATTTCTTTCACAATAAAACAAACTGTGTAGCTGATCCCACCAAACTTGAAGCATTATGGGAGTTGTAGTTCAGTGAAGAAAATCTGAGGATTCCTCATATTTTAGTCATTTCTAAATTTAAAGCGTACACTTATTAAAATCCTAGCATTCCTTGAAAGAATGCATTTTCTGCAGAAATGTTAGACAAAAAAAACGTTTCTTTTATTTGGTACAAAAAAAACCTAAAGGAATTTTGCACAATCTTGCATAAGACAAGACCACAAATAAACAGGTTACATGAACCAATGATTTAACAAAAAGAAGGTTTTTGGGTCAAAATATAAATGGCATTCTATATATCTGTGTGTCTTTTTTGTCTGCTAACAAAATAAAATGTTCATTTAATGATTTTGTGTTGTGTTGAAATTTGTTGTTTTTATTAAAATGAAATAAATTATTTAAAAAAAGATAATGTTTTTAGTAGCCTAAAATATCACAAACCAGTTGACAGATTTTAATGAAACTCTTAGAAAATGCCCACTGAATGAGCTTCTACGACTGATTTTGGAGTCGACATGTGGCACAAACACAAACATTGCTTTAACTTTGTCCGTTTTACAGATAAAGATGTAACTAGTATTGCATCGTGTCACATCAGGAACTAAACAAGTGCATTCTTTGTTTTCCAAAAGTCAGTGATTTTAATGGGTGTCCAAAAATACTTTCCCCACTTCGTGCATCAAATGTGACAGTTTTGTGGACATTATGATTATTGACATTACCAACTAGGGTTGGGCATAATCGTATCGTGTGCAATTAATAGTCAGAAAAATTGTTAATTGATTACTTTTTGGCACTTGACGATTAACACGATTAATGCCCCCCTGGCAGACTGACTGGATATTTCCCCGGTCAGTCTGCTCRATGCTCCTCTACGCTTCAAATATGACAAACATTTWATAAAAACTTCTGTAATTTATTTATCATAACTCTGGTTTTACTTGGTCCATCAACACAATTAAAATTTGATGCATAGCCTGAAGTCTGTACTTTTGACACAATTTAGAACAGACTTTTACAGAGGGCAAATTTTTCCCACTAAAGTGATTTAAATTGGTCATATAAGGGCATGCAGGCGTCCAGGGACTCTAGGGGATAAATCATCATATTAACCGTTATCAGCTAAATACCACAACTGTGATTTTTATTTTTTTGCCAGTATCACCCAACCCTGTCACCAACACCTCAGGAAGGGGACACTTTTTGTGTCTGTCTGCCTGTGTGAATTTATTTTGTGGTCTTGTAAGCCCATGTAGGCTGGGCACCTGTATTGCATGACCCAAAAAGAAAAGAAAAGAAAATTACTGACTTTACCAACATACATGTGAAAACTGTTTATGGATTTGCTAAAAAGCTTAAAGCTGTCTTAGTCATTTTTTAAATATATTTGCAAACGTATAATTTACATCACCATCAGAAACAAACATCCTAAACCTAAAAGACTTGTATATTTCTTTCAAGTGAACTTCTTCACAGTCTGCAGMCTTGTACAAATTCTACAATGCTAACTTGAAAATACTGATGTATTAAGTAATACTGACTAAATGGTGTAAAAGACATAACAGGAATCAAAATGAGCAGTGTGGCTTCACCAGATCTTCATCCTTGCAGAGCTGCTAAGGGAGTATGGGGTGCCTGGGTTGCTTCTCAGGCTTATCCAGTCACTGCAGCAGAGGAGGRCGTCTCAGCATTTTGCAGATGATGTGGTTTCGTTGGCGTCTTCAGTAGCTGGGATGGGAATCAGCTCCTCCTAGCCTGAAGTCGTGGTTCTTCATTGAAAAAGGTGGAATGCTCCTTTCTCATTTGGTGACGAGTCTCTGGAGGAGCTCAAGTATTTGAGAGTCTTGTTTATGAGGGATGGTAGGGTAGAGCAGGAGATGGACTGACAGATCTGTAATGATGTCTAAATCTGTTTAATTACTCATGAGATGTTTAGCTAACAGATTTTGTGCCAGATTAGCAAATAAAAAAAACACAAACATTTAAAGAGCAAGTTGAGGTTTAATTTATACATTTATTCTGATCACATCTGTACAGGAATGCATTGTCACAGCAGAAACACAACCTAAATCTGAGCATGGCACGACAGCCATCACAACACATCCAGAACTCAACCATAAATGTACAGACTCGCCCCAGTTCAAGGTTCAGAACTCTCATAATGATTATCATCAAAGATAACATTATTATAATTATTATCAATATTATTCACATAGAACTATCTGTCTCTCAAATATATTTTTTGTTTTCAAAGAGCAGAAAAATACAAGTGGACTCTTCACTGGGATGAAAACCGGTGGTGGATCCACCGTCTTGGCTCACACGGAGGAGAAACACTGAAAACTGGAGGAGTGGAGCCAACTTATCACAGAGGGGCTTTAATCAGCTCGTACCAAGGCGTGGGAATGGTCACAGAAGGTCGCAGACAGATGGAGGGGTGGGGTTGAGTTTTCAGGAGCACAACTCAACTTTGAAGCTACTTTTGACATCACTGACACAAAAGTTTCTTTTTTTTAAAAGAGACAATAAAAGCCGTTAAACTAAAATATTATATGAAGAAGACTACAAAGGCACAGAGATTTGCAGAGTTAAAGAAACAGGCACCGGGGGCCTCGTGTGCAAAGGAGGCTTTCTCCGTGCAAAAGGTATCATTAATGAAGCTGATGCCAAATGAATAGGTGGCACTGAGCTGGGAGTCTCTTAATGATGTAAAAATTATGATTGGACACATCTGGAAGGTCTCCTGCTTCACCAGCTAAACGAAGCTAAAAGTGTCTGAGGATCCGTTTTCTGTAATTTTTTTTAATGTGTCAGATTGTTATAATAAGACATAAAATATTTATATTAATGTCCATCAGCAGTTTCCCACATGTAGGTGTTTATGTAATTAATAAATATTGGCATTTTAATAGTTATATTTAAGAACTGTGCATCAGAACACATCAAGATGATGATGTACAAATGGGCTGATTACGTTTTTGAAATTTTGCTAAATTTTCTGATCAGTTGAACAGGTAATGTTAGATCGAATGTGTTAGTTCCCCTGTAAATCAGAGAATACACCTATAAGATGTATCAAACCCCGGAGTGTCTTTGTGTTTAATGTCATTTTCTTATTAAACCGTTTGAAATATCTCAGCCTTAAAATGAGCCAAATGAAAGYAGCAGTGGGTTCTTAATTTCTCCCAGCAACGGGCACACGCCATTTCCTCAATTTAAGCCATGTTTCAGTAAAAAAATCCACTCGTCTTCGTACACGAGGCCCCAGGAGGCTTAAAAAAACAAAAATAATAAAAAACAGGAAGACAAGCAGTATTAGGGCAGATTAAAGGCAGTTTCACAAACCAACATTAGAGGGAGCTCTAACAGCTCAGGTATTTTAGAAAAACTGTGTGGATGTTTACTTGATATGCTATGTAAAGTATTAAAAAACAGGAATATCTTTTGAAAGCATTGTTCACTGTTGTGGAACAAAGGTAAGTACCACACAGCTCTGTGTGTGTGTGTGTGTGTGTCAGTATTTTTCATGTGTTATGTAGAGCATAATGAATGAAGATGAAAAGAGCCGAACAATTCCTATTAATGTGAGAGTGTCTTAAAATTTTGTTTTTAGTTGGTCTGATCGATAGGAGTAACTACTGTACGAGTGGGAGGACACTGACACGAGCAAAAGCAGGGACTACGCACGCACTCGGAACAACAACGAAGCCAGCGATAACAGCAACGGCACCAACAACAACGACGTCGTGGAAAGAGACAGGCGGGTCGGGAAAAGTCCAGCCAACCACAATCCTCCGCTCACACGGAGGGAGAAATGGAGGCTACAATGCACCTGGAAAAAATTACTCTTTTTGATATTTCAGGAATTAGACAGACTCAGAAAGCGGTCYGTCCTTCCGTGTGCTTTTATAAACTCTCTCAGCCACCTCGTCAGTTCGATTCCTGTTTATTCATCACTCTAATCTGCCTTTGAGACAACCGATGTGCTTAGTTCTGCAGGTATTACTCTTATCCTCCCGTTCTTTCTTTTAAAGGATGAGCAGCGTGATTGTGCTTCTCGGCCTGCACGGCTGTTTGAGGCTGCTGGGGTGGAGGGGTGGGGGTTGCAGAGGTCAGAGGTTGTGTGGGAGTGACCTCCTCGCRTCAGGAGGGAGGAGCTGGAGCTGCTGCGCCCCTGAGAAACCCCACTCCCTCCTCGTCAGCATACATGGCTACTCAGGAAGCACTTAAGGAGGGGGGGCGGACACTCAAACACACTCTTCACACTCAAAAAGCCAGCATTTGGCCATGGGAGAGTTTTCTTCTTACACCTACACATAATGAGGCGGGGCGGGGCAGGGCGGGGAGAGAGGGGGAAAGACCTTGTTGGAGAAAAGGTTTGGGCGAGGGATCAATCRAGCATCGCATCCAGCTGGTCTGCCAGGTCGTCAAACATGCTGCCGATGTCATCCAGGATTGAGACTGTTGCTTTTTTGCTGAAATAAAATAAGGAAATATTTCTTAGCATTAGGCTTGTGAAAAATTGCATCATGAGTGATTAATCGTCAGAAAAACTRTCACCGATTAATATTTACTACTTTGGGATTATTGTGATCAGTGCCGTGTGATGACGTATGTTTGTGTGATTGCTAGGGCTGGGCAATATGGCTGAAAAATGCAGATCAGTTGATATTAATAATTATTAATTAGTTCGTTTGTTTTACCTATTTCAAATAAGGACCAGGAGAAAAAAGCCTGAGTACCACTGCCAAACTGGTGACGTGACCTTTCTTTATTCACAGTTTCCTCTGGMGCTGTTGCACTCATTTTCTCCTTTCAATCCGCATCGTTATTTTTTTTTATTTTCAAGCCGTTCTGAGGCACCGTGGTGAAACACGAAGCTGCTGCTGCGCATGATACTCAACACGTTGTTGTTAGCTGATCAAAGAGTGAGTGAGTTAGTTGATGCCACCAACCTTGCTTATGGCCCTGTCACACTAGACAACTTACAGCAACTTATGAAACCTTTTTTATGTCTAAATTCCTAATAAAAGTTGTATATTTGATCATTTTGTTAGAATTACAGTATGTACACGCCTAAAGGAAACTTCCAGTTGATTTTTTATTCCATTTTTAACGTAGATGTCTTTAAAGTTTTCACAAGTTGGCATAAGTTGTCGAAAACGTCTCTTATGTCAACTTATGAAACATTTTTTATGTCTAAATTGCTAATTAAAGTTATATATTTGATCAATTTGTTCGAATTAGTTTCGTTTAGTTTATTAATTTCTTTAAAAACAACATAAATTCAACAAATTATAGAT